CACAATCCCGAGGAACACATCAATGCCGCGGGAGGATGCACGGAAACAGACAACGACACAGACAAGGTCCAGAATGAATCGATGGACCTGCGTGGGCAGACGGTCAGTCCACAGTACTTCGAGCGGGGCGCAAGCACGTACTGGACCATCACAACCCTAATACACCGCCAACCAGGCCAACACCGCGCTCGTACACCGCGTCGTGGATGCGCATCTTCGCCTTGCCCTTGCTGAGGTCCTCCATGGAGTCACCGAAGAACATCTCGAGCTCTCCGCCCGGCGTGACCACCTCGTCTTCGTCGTCCTCCGTCTCTTCTTCGCCCAGACAGGCGTCCGCACGCACCTCCGCGCCCTCAGCAGGAAATCCATAATCAGCGGTGCTCGCCGCGGACAGGCGCAACATGCGGCTCTCGATGTACAGATCTGCAAAGCATGAAAACGCGGTGACAACATACTGCACCAGGAGTACTTGCCCGTGTCCCACGGCACGTCCTCGCTTCCGGTCATGGCCGCCATGAGTTTCTCCTCGAACGTCGTACGGATCCGCTTCATCAGCGCGACGAGGTCCGCGAAGCGCATTTTGAACGCGACCGGCGGCGGAGGAAAGTGCACGCCGCCCAAGACCGAGACAGAGTGCGGCTGCAGAGACGGCACCGAGGACGCGCGACTAGCCAAGGGCGGCGAACAACCCGAGAAGTACTGCGGGGGCTCGGAGGACAGCACGGCGTAAGGTATGGAGTGGCCGGATTCCAAGAGAAGCTGGGACAGGTAGAGCGAGCTGGCGCTCTGGGTGAGCTCAGTCTGTGCAGGTGGCACCGGGAACGCAGCTGGTACAGACGGTTGGGCGTCCTGAGACGGCAGCCAGCTATATGCGTTTTGAATAGTATGACGAGAACCAGCTGGAGAGACTGCAAGAGGTTGCGTATCTGCGTCTTCAGAAGAGAAAACGGGCCGTAGAGGGACAGTAAACGAGGCTCCCGGTCTCGTCACCTGGATTGGAGAGTAACCTGAGGGCGCGGGTTGATATTGAATGAATGGGCGAGGCTGCCGAGATACCGTAGGCGTCAAGCGTTCGTTCCTGGGTACGGCAGACGTCGAAGATGCAGGATCAGAGACAGTCGTCACAGAAGACGTCGGGGCGCACGGAGCCTCCAAGCACAACGAATTATCGGCAGAGGAAACCGTCGACGCAGTACCAGTGGACTTGCGGGCCCTCGACTTGCGCTGTCTCTGCACCCATTTCTTGACCCACCTCTCCTCCCTACACGGGTTCACAATTTAAATTAGAGACAATGACACGAAGAAAGGAGAAATACGCACAGGCCCGTCTCCCTCGCCGTGTTCGCGACATCTTCCTTGGATGCATGCTCGCCTGTTCGCTGGTAGAGTTGGTTCAAAAGAACAAGCTGCCGTCCGTTCGCGACCACCCTGCGATAACCTACTGTCGGAGGTGCGCTCGACGCGTTCCGCGATACCACTTCAGAAGCTGCCGGTGCTCTCTTGATGAGAGTGTGCATTCTGTACCATGAAGGCAAAGACTCAGTATGAGAAAGCACGAGGAGATCAAGTGCAACTTGAACATCGCGGTTGACGTGCACCAAGCTCCATCACAAACGTGCCCGATCATGAACGTTAACACTAGCCTCCGAGCTATATATCTCAGCGAAAAGACGAAGGAGACACATCCCGCATGCGTACAGCATACACTACTTTTACATCCCGAGAAAACAAACAACATTCACTGAGCACGCACAACCGGTGTGTCCAAGCCTCCGAGTCCCGCTACCATTTCCTCGCTATCCGGCCAGCCGCCCACACGAGCCCACCCCCTCCGACGGGCACCAGAAGCACCCACACGCCAAGATCCCACACAAGTCGCCGGCCTAGACGCCGCCGTTGCAAGGTGCGCTCCTTGCGCTGCAACAGCTCGTCGTGCCGCGAGTCGCTCGCCGCGGCCGTACGGGCGCCCGAATTAGGCGACGGAGTGTTCGGCGGAACAATGATCGACAGTGGTCGCTTAAAGTTGTGCAGTGTGATGTGGAGGAACGCTGAGACGTCGGTTGTAAGGCGTTGAGTCCTATACATGTAGGCAGACACACGCACCTGGGAGCATATATGTGCTCAAGAATGCCAACACGAGTACCACGTCGCTCAGGACGCTCGATACAGACAGAGGGGTCACAGACAAGGCCAAGACGACGAGATAAATGATGATCTTAGAAAGAGGGAAATCTGTCACGCGTCTGATGGAGAAGGGAATAGGGAGCGACGGGGCGGTGATCAGAACAGATGGTATGGACAGCGTGAGTGTCGCTGCATTGGATACAGCCGTCAAATATTTCACAGTTGTCGAGGGCGATTCCTGCGAAGCAGCCTGCCAATTCAAGATCTCGGTATTAACGAATAAAGAGGAACTTACTGGAGTACCAGATGCTTGGAAGAGTACAAGAGGCAAGATACATAATACGGCAAGACCCACAGATAGAGCAGACAGAAGCTTGAATGATTGTGAGCGCTTGGGCCGGGTATTCACAGATTGAATTGTGCCGCGGAGCGCAGCATAGAGTGAGACAGTTGATGAGGTAGTGAATGCGAACGCGATGGTAGCTGTTGGCCGTGAGTTGATGAACAAGGAAATCAAGGATGAAGGACGTACAAACGTCCTGCCACAGGACACCAAGTGATGTAGAATTCCCAGTTGGGACTGCAATTCCCTTTCCACGAGCGTACGCCGTGCAGGAGAACCACGCAACCCACGATGCGACAGACAGCCAAGTAGCATAGATGACACGCTTCGAGGCAAGCGATCGGCCGAAATACAGCGGGGAAGCTGCAACAGCAAGAATGATTGTCATCGAGGCCTGCGTGAGCTCCTTCGGAACTAGCGGGAGTAATATGTCGGCGGAAGCTGCGCCAAGTTAGACGGGTATGTACAGTGAACCGGGCAGGGTTTGACGAACCTCTGAGGTACATGGAGGACAGCAATATCCTGAACACGCCAGCGTTGAAGCGTACGACCTGCCTCAATAACCACCTCATGCCCTCCCTCCCTCGCTCCCTTGCATATGTCTCGAGTATGATTTCCTCGAGATCAGCCCTCCGCACGTATCGCGCGAGCATGTACCATATCTGGCGCGTAAGTGCAGATAGTGCCGCAAAGAAGAACAACACAGGGAGAGCAACCTTCAACGGGAGATCGCCAGCTGGTACCAAAAGTGCCCCCAGCTTCAGGCAAGGCGACAGAAGGTACAAAAAGACGGTGATGGAGGAGAGGGGAGGCACAGACGACGGCTGAGCTCGTTCTGACTGAATGTTGGTCTCGTCCTCCGTTTCGTCATCGCTGGAAAAATCGAACGGTGCGCTGTTTGCTCCCTCTTCGGATTCAGGAACGAGTATCAGCGCAGCGGATGAGTCGAAGCCATGGATAGGAGATTGTCGTCCTGACGCAAATGAACCTGAACTTCTCGATGAACGTGGGCTCGTCGACATTCTGCAGGCTGAAAGGAGTGTGGGGGAAAGATAAGAAGCGCAGAACCCAGTCTACACAGGTAGTCAATCTGGGCCTAGCAGAGAAAGCGCCCACTGCGGACAAGTTCATGACGGGCACCAGATTCTCACGCTGTTGATCCATTGCCACAACGATCGTGTTCCGTCTAGCTTCTCACACAACACTTTCTAGGCACTCGCACAGTGAAGACAAAATGTTCTCCGTATCATTCAGGTAATGTATTGTCAATGAGCATTTCAGTCTTTTGCCTGCTTAGGCGCATCACCGGACTGTCAAGTCGCGATTTCGAATCATCAGCACGTCGCATCTGTCAAACAAAAAGAAACATACCGTGGCCTTTTCCCTGGCGTCGCCGAGGTTCGTAGGGCCGGATTCCTCATCGCTCTGGAGCGTGCCGGTTCGTGGCTTGTCGGAAGGACGTTCCTTCTGGTCTGGGTTAATCTCGGCCTCGGAGGTTTGTCCCGGGGAGCCAGAATTGAACTTTGCATCCTCTTCTTCCTCGTTCTGAGCATCTTGAGGGGAATCCTCGTTCTGCGAATACACCACGCATACATCTGGTAAATCATAGAGGTCAACTTCGGAGGCACGTGACTCACGAATGCTTGCTTCATGGATTCCTTGACCTCATCGCCGGAGATCTTTTCGCCGTCAGCATCGGTCATTGGGGATTCCTCGGAGGGCTATTCGGTGACTGTGAGTAGATGCCTCCCCCCTCCCCCTCATACGCGATCATACCTGCTGTTCCTCGGATACCTGGGCGTCCTTTGGCGAGTCGTTATTCTAAATGACAGTCAATTTACGACACGTATATGGGGAGTTATATGCCCCACATAGGCTGTCTGTGCAGAGACCTCGACCCCCGCAGCGGGAACCTCTGTACCTTCGTCGTCCTTCACAGGCGGCGGGGCCGATGCCGGCTTGTGAGCGTGTACCGAGCCGTGTGAAGCCTTCTTGGAAGACGGTGACAAAAGGTAAATGAACTGCAATAGAGATAAAGTCATGGGGCTCGCTTTCGACGCGTCCAGAGACGTGGCAACGTACAGCAGGTCCAAATATGACTGCAGAACCTATCTAACACGCACGACAACAAAATAGAGCAGGTCGATATTCGCCTCGCAGTTTCAAAATTAAATTGGGTGCTCACCATCCATGGCGTGTCACTCCCCTGCTTCGCCTCGCCATGCTCAGCGGTACTCATGAGTCTCTGACGAGCACCTGCATTGCGCCCCGCTATGCGTACGTTTGGCCTTACGACCTGGGACAAGAGGCGGCGTCCAACGCGAGAGTTCATGAAAAGTGGTGCGGGGTAAGTGCGGACACGAAGGGAGTGTGGGGAAAACGTACACTGCCAGCTGGACCGGCGCCCTTGAACGTCTGGAAAGCTCGGCTTCCGGAGGGCACCGACGTCCATTCCGATGACGTCGTGTCTCTCCTCATAATTGCCGACAATTGCCGACCTCTTCATATGCTACGCGCGTATTGATTAGGCATGGCCTGCCTAGCTCAATCGGATAGAGCGTCAGACTTTTACGCTCATATGGGTGGCCATCTGAAGGCTGCGGGTTCGACCCCCGCGGTGGGCTAGTTGTTTTTTGTCCTGGTATATCATGATGCTCATGGGCTCTACGCGTTGTTACTCTCTTTGATTTGTTCTTAGTCTCATGGCACGAACAATCTTTATTGCTGAGCAGAATCGCTCACCAGGTTGTACCCATGTCCTTCTAATGACCACGGGCAGCGTAGCATCCATCAAAGCGCCCCTAATCGTCTCTGAACTATTGTCCGTTCGTGTCTACTTTATCTTTCCGCGTATCAATTGTGCTCATCCAAATATCTCCTGTCTTGCCATAGTACGCCGATGTGAAAGTTGAGGTAGTCTCAACCAAGCCCTCACTTGCCTTCTTCGATGTGCAGGCGGTGGAGCAGGCGGGTGCGCGGGTGTGGATGGACAAGGACGAATGCACAGAAGATGTCAGTATCGTAGAATTTTCCAACATGTCCCTCAGGTACTAACTTGCGCCATCCGCAGGGTGGATATAAACTCGGCGACCCGATACTGCACATCGAGTTGCGCAGGTGGGCAGACGTAGTTCTCATAGCGCCCTGTTCCGCCAACACTCTCGCGAAGATTGCTCACGGTATATGTGACAACCTCGCGGTACGTCGGTGTTTTTTTTTTGGTTTCGATCCGTCCTTCATTGATAATTACCTCCAGACGTCTCTCTTACGTGCCCTCGCACCCTCTACGCCGACCTATGTATTTCCCGCAATGAACACGCTCATGTATGAGCATCCTCTAACGGCGGAGCATATACGCATCGTACGGGACGTCGTCGGATATGAAGTAGTGGGCCCCATCGGGAAAACACTCGCGTGCGGGGACGTAGGTGAGCATATTGGTATTGGGTTTGGCTCCGTGTAATGACCAATGGCATTTTGTAGGACTCGGCGCCATGACCGAATGGAGAGAGATAGTCAATATTGTGGTTGAGAAGTTTAGCCTTGTCAAGACGACGCCATCGGCTGCAGAGAATTAATAGGAGCAGGCCATGACACTTGTCGACTCAATGCATGGAGCATACTGTATCGGTACGATGTTCACTACAGCCTATTAATTCTTTCTCGACTCCCGGCAATGTACAAAATATCACAACGGTTATGCACTTTCAATGAACGCACGGCGCTCGCCGTTTTGCAGGCACCTTACACACTATCCATCGGCCTTCCATCCCCTCACTCTCCCTTGACCGCACATCCCCCTCTGCAGCTTTCCGCGCGAGCCATTCATCTACTGCCTTAATAGCAACGTCCGTATCTTTGTCTTTCGAGAGCGCCGGACGCAACATCAGCGATCGCGCCAGCCACATCCTAGTCGACGGAGAGGCATACTCGACAGGCGTCGGGGGGGAGGCCAGCTGGGGACAGGACAGCTCCCGATACGCACCACGCAAGACAAGCCACGTCGTCTCGCGAGCTTTTGTCCTGAGCGCGTCAGCGAGTGTGCAGAGCGCTTCAAACGCAAGGTTGCCCGGGTCTCTAGTGCCTTGAGCGTCCTCTGTGCCACGGAAAATTCGCTCGAACGCGCTACGGTGTGTCAACGCATCCAGCCGTGCGTAATTGCACCGACGCAGATTACGCGCGAGCTCGTCGAGCCATCGGTGTGCATCGGACGTACGGGGTAAGAATGCATGAGGGAGAGAGTGTAGGCGCTCGCGGTACTGGCTTTGGGATGGATACGCGGCAACGAGGTGGTGCAGTAGAGCAAGAACAGTCGTCGCCTGGGCGGTGGATGCATGTGCTGTCGGTGAGGCGGGTGCTGGAACACGAAGGTAAAGATCCGGGAGGAGGTGGGACAGGACAGAGGACGTCTGTATGGGAGTGTGAAATATCACAGCAAAGTGCAGGGATGTCTCATAGACTGCGTTGGTTAGCACCCAGTACAGGTATTGCCATGAAAGCTTACCTTCCAACGCGAAGGCATCACTACGATTGGTAGATAGTATGCCTTCCCTGAGTTTCCCTTCACAATATTGATGTTCATTCGTACAAATCAGATCAGATGCACACAAATCACTCACGGAAAAGGATGAGTAGGTTTTGTTGTACTTCCTCTCTTGCCTTCACGTCGTAGGTAGTGGAGCGAAGAGGGTAACGTTTCCAATACTCATCGACCTTGAATCACATCTTTGTCTTCAGGATCGTGACCTACCGAAACCGAAGTACACACTTTAACGCACTTTGGACTGGATGAATTCACGATACTCCTGCTGGACCTTGAAGTCCCTCAACCTATGCAGCTATGTGATGTCAGGAGGCCACGACAATCATCCGGACTTGTCAAGCAATCAGCGACTCACGCATCACCACCCTTCTCCAATCCGCTGCTACGACTGACAGAGGCGATGAGCTCCATGTGCCTCTTGCCGGGCTGGTACACTCTATGCGAAGGTGCTCTGTTGCGCGACATATCGGCGAATGGAGAGAGGATAGGCGTCCAAGTAGATACTCGTGAACACGGAAGACAATATGTATTCCTTTCCCGCGCTCGACTTGCAAGACGACTTCCCGGGACGTTTCGATGACAGTCAGCTCGATACCTTCCCTCGTCGACCCCCCGCTGACCCCGGAGAATGTTCCGCTCCGTAGTGGGCCTCCGACGCGTGAGGAGCTGCTTGTGTATTATCCGTCCAAATTCACCTGGCAGCAGCTGAAGACTTTCGTAAACGCCGGGTGAGTGCCTGCATACCTCTTATAAACAGAATGTATCTCAGTGAATTCTTAGGGACCTTGGGCTGCTCAAGCGGGACAAGAAACTGCAGATTCGATATGAGACGTGGGGTGCAGGGGTCAGAGCAGAGTATGGGTCGATGGGTTCGTTCCATCTTACCTGAAGTCCAAGCAGATCATTGACTGGAAGGTTCACCAGTGAATTACCTCCTCACTCACCGGCTGCAGTGGGGAAAGCCAGATGCTCTGTCGCTGCTCCGATCGGTCCTCGATGGCCCTGCAGCCTCTGTGATCTCCAACATCTCGACTGATGGTCCCCGTAGACCTGGAGAACTACCTCCAATCCCTGACAATGCTCCATCGTACTTCACGGCAGATACACCACCGGAGTTGATCAGCATAATCATGAACGACTGGCCCTACTCCGGTGCGCCTCCAATATTGGCTCCGCTTGCGACTCGCTCAAATGAATGCGGCGTGTAGTCCCGCCCGAAATCGAGCATACCCTCATCTGGACGCGCTTGCCAATCATGCCGCCTGATCTCCCGCCTTCTGTCTCCAAGCGCCTCCTCCAAGATGGACTCTGGGGCTTCACTGGCTCTTTGGAGCCCCCACCTTCGCCTAGTGCCCTCCCCGCGTGCCTGCCTGCCCTAGCCGAGTGGGGGACGACCCTCGAGAGTTTGGTTTGTTCACCACGCGGGACGGAAGAGGAGGAGGCCTTAGTGCGCGATACGGGCAAGGAGGTTGCAACGTTCGTGAAGCGGCGGTGGGTTGAGCGCGAGTGGGAGACGGCGTGGTTCGTCAATCCGCCGGTGAGTGTTGTGCAGTTGACTATCACTGCCCTGGACTGATTTTGCGTGTTTACCGTAGCGCCTACAGAGCGTCCCGGGGCTAGCTCATGCGCATGTCTTTGCGAGACACAAGTCACCTGAGGAGATTTCTCGGTGGGTGGATTGAAGACCTCGTATGGACTTAGGGAATTAGAAGGTGTTGAACATAGGAAGAAACGTGATATGTGTAGATTGCTTGTGGTATACAGCTACTGTTACTGTTGGCTACTGAGGATGACTAGAATGGTATACAAAATCAAACATTTCGATAAACGCGTACGAACGAACCACCAGAACCCGCTAACTTTGTCAAAGCATCTTCACACCGAACGAGTTGTACATCATCACCGAATTTCCACCTTGCCCAAAAGATCCGCCAAGTCGTCTGCCGCCTTGTCCGTCGCAGTAGGTGCCTTTGGCTCCTCCTTTTCTTCCGCCTCTTTCTCTGCCTCCTCTTCCGCCTCCTCTTCCTCTTCCTCATCCTCGTCATCAGTGACAAGCTTTCCACCTCTCTTCTGTAATGCGCCAGTCAAGGCCTGGATACCATCATCGTCCTCCTCCACCTCATTCCACTGGATTTCCAGCGTCTTCAACACCGGAAGATGCACCTCGATGCCCTCCGCAAGCAGTGCAAACGACTGCACCTCCAGATTGTTGTTCTGCAGCTGCAGCACCTCCAGCTTCGGGTTCGAGCCCGCCGCGAGCGCCTCCACGACGGACGACACCGCGCCCTCCTCCGCAAGCACGCAGTCGGACAGGTTGAGCGTGCGCAGGCCGGGCCACGCGCGCAGCGCCTGCGCCATCGCCGTCGCGCCCTCCTCGCCGAACGTGTTGTCCTGCATGTCGAGGTGCGCGAGGCCCTTGCACGACGCGAGCCCGTGCGCGAGCGCCGCGGCGCCCGCCATGCGGATCCCGTTCTGCGGCATGCGCACCTCGACGAGCCCGCCGTGCGCGGCGAACGCGGCGGCCCACGCGGGCGCGGAGCCGTCCTCGAGACGGTTGCGGCCGCAGATGACGGTGCGGAGGTTCGAGGGCGTGCCTGCGGCCTTGCTGAGCTCGGCGGAGCGCAGGAGCGCGTTGGCGATGGTCGCGCCGCCGGCGGGGCCGAGGCCGTTGTTGTTGAGCTTGATAACCTGCACGGCACGGTTCTGCGTGAGGAAGGGCACCATGGGGTCGACGGAGCGCCCGCCGAAGGCGTTGTCGCTCAGGTTGATCTCGACGAGTGTGGTCTTGGGGATGAGCGCGTCGCACAGTGCGGAGAGGGCCTGCGGGATCTCGCTGATCAGACGACCGGTAAAAATGTCGGCGAAGTCGGCGATCTAGGGCAAGAGCATGAGTGTAGATGAGCCAGGAAGACGACGTGGCGCACATACCTTGAGTGCAGTGGTCTTTGAGAGAAACTCGGCGAGGGTTTGTGCTGCCTCTACACCGATCGTATTGCCTCCCAGGTGGATCTCCTCGATCGTGGTCGGGACATCCTTCAGGTATGGCTCGATGTCGGTCTTGGTATTCAGCTTCAGGCCTTT